CATACATACATACATACATACATACATACATACATACATACATACATACATACATACATACATACATACATACATACATATATACATACAGATAAAAGCACTGATCGATTCTGTTTCCATGGTTTAGAGTAGTTACTTTGTTCACAAAGACGTTCGAACAGGATATCCTAATCTTGACTAATGCTCACAAATCCTCATGATACGTAACATAGTTACTGTATAAATGTCATCACACTGTAGTCTCTACTTGCATCAGAATCCGTTATATTCGATTTTGATTTCCTTCTCGCGAGGGCTGGAATCACCGTGGATAGTACCGGTTGTGTGTGAGTTGCTGTTGTGTCGCCGACCTCGGAAGCGCTGTCTTCAAATGGATTTGCCTGCCTGAGTGGATTTAAACCCTCCAGTTGCGTGGGCGCTTGTGCAACCTTGGGCTCCGCTCCTTGAACTATCTTCCAATTCACATCACTGAAATAGTCAATATCTTTTTCACTAGTCGCTTTTTCGTCTGAAGAATCGGAATTTTCCGGTGAGCGATTTGCAGGCGCAAATTCTTTTTCAGCCCATTCCCCCGGGGATTTTGTCGGCAAGACTGCCGCGGGTCGACCCAAGTAAACGGCCCACCAGAACCAGAAAACCGCGCTTAGTACAGCATGGACAAATGCACGACCGAAGAATATAAGAAGAAAGAAACTGCTCAAGAAACTGATTCCCGCGCACAGGCCCAATGTACCACCCAGATTACTGATCAAATTGAACAGTGAGTCGGTCAGTTCTTCTTCCCACGCATCAATCATTTCGGTTGACGTGCGAATATCGAGGATAACCATATCGCGGGAGTTTAAATTTGTCGGTTTTGTTGAATACTGTGAACTTGTTTCCGATCGATAGTTATCACCTGATGGTTCCGATTCGTTGAACATCTCCTCCCACAGACGCTGTAGAGGTGCGTGTTCCAGTTGACTTGCTTGCAACTGCTGAACATATGTAGAGAGAATGGTGGGTGGATATGTGGCTCCTTCCTCCATGTCAGTCACCTCGAAGAAGCGAGTAGCATATATCGTCTGCACAAACAGATAGGAAGCGTCTCGTGGATAAATACAGAATATCCCAAAGACAACAACAACAACAACCGATAAAACTTTCACAGTCAATAAAGAATCAAAAATGATACAATCACAGAAATCAGTGTGCATGAATGAATGAGAGCACGCGACATTGATAACCCATGTCCATTCTGTTCAAACTGTTCGATTTATTTTTGTAAATATAATCCATATCTCTCTTTCTGTTTAATTTTTTTGTAGAACACAGCAGCGTTGAACAAAGGCCATATTAACCTAAGATGCATGTCCTGAACCATGAGTCCTCAATTTTACACCTGTGACTATCGATAAGAACAAAAACAGTCGGCTAATGCGATCTTCACTCGGAGCCCGGGGGTGGGAGTTCTTTGTACAAGAAAAAAGACTGGAAAACTCATCAAAAAACAGCTGCCACCCTGAATTCTGGATACAAACAGTCAGCAGATGCAACTTAGCCCACTCTTTGTACAGATGACTGGGCATAGTCAACCTGGGAGCGGAAAAATCTTTGACAAAAACTGGATCCTATTCTTCTTCCCTGAAGTTCGTTTAATGATTTCATACACTCCTCATAACAGTTTCTACTTGATCTACTTGATTTTTTGGTAAAATCCGAAGTAATTAGGATTCATTTTTATTATTTGATTATAACATCGTAATTTTATAACTTAATAACGCTAAGTACGATACTACCACATATTATATTATATATATTATATAATATTACATATTATGTATTATGTATTAGGGGCCTCATTAATGATGCCTATTATTTACGAATAACCAACATGGAAGTGTTATGACCGAGACAGCTCGTAGTGGATTATTTTCCAGCGACCCACTTGCAAAATCATTCTTCCTAATCCATGTCCGTGAACGGAAACAACGACAACAACAAAGTTAAATGCAATCGCGATCGCTTCCCAGTGACGTTGACATTACGGTGTTTTAATAGTTTATTATATGTTACTCATGAGTAGATAAATGCATTTTCTAAAATATTTACCATTTCCATTCACCTTTTCACACGGCAAGGAGCAGATAGCGTGCCGCTCAATTTTCCGTGCGTCCAGATCATCTCTTGTTTCGAACAGTAAGTTCAGTGGTATGTACTGATCCAGTACGGCCGTCGTGGGCATTTTATCGTATTGATCAAAGCAAAGAAATTCCTCGCGCAGTCGCTGAGATGTCTTTTGACGAATGTCTCGGCAAAATTCCGTCGTAGATCGATTGGCATCCAGGATAGAACGTTCCATTTCCGATTTCGCTTTGTTGAATGGAACAAATAACCGATCAGAATAGCATCCACATCGATCCTTAAAATAAGTTTGTTTCTTGTTGGCTACACAATCCTCATATGTGTATCGATATTCGAGGAAATTGGCTCCACCTCGAAAATTCGTGTACCTGTTTCATGGAGGAATTAAGGGGGGAAACTAAATTACCATTATGTTGTACTGTATTGTATCATATTGTATTATATTGTATTGTATTACATTGATGCTTTAGCGAGTTATATACAAGCCCTCAGGCAAAAGAGACCACCATCACAGTACTGACAAAAAGGGGGGAAGTGGGACATCAAGCCTGCAAAAATCTGAAATAACTGCTAAATGCATTAGATATCTCAGAAAGAACGCCCTTCTTGTCGATCAGTATCCGGGTGAGACAGGGTACCAAAGGGTTTCTGTTGGTAGATATCCAAGATGGGATGAGTTTGAAATGAGAACGAGTGGAGGGGTGGGATGTGCATGCCCATAGGTCAATGTGTAAAGGATGATTGCAATCAGATAGAATGTGGTCAGCAAACTTCAAGCACGCATCAATATGAGCATCACAGATATTGTCAATCAGAATAGATAAAGGAACTTGGGAAACACGCCTGCTCATTGAGAGGCCATGCCTCAGCAGCTTGATATCGGCCTTCAGCGAACCAGGGAAAATCACATAAGAATAGTAAAGGGGTATAGTGAGAACACATTGTTGAACAAAAGCTCCTATCACCGACAAATCAGAACAGAAGTGGCACAGTCTTCTTACCTGAAAGCAGAGAACTTTCATCTTGTGAGCAATAGTTAGGGCATGGGAAGGCCAGCGAAGGTTACTTTCAAGTGTGATACTTAAGTACATCACATTTAAACAGAACATTGCATTTGCTTTGGTGTCATGTAACGTTATGCTTACCACGAATGACAATATATTGCCTGTGCGCAGTTTGGAAATGCTGTCCACAAGAAGTACTTCAACAGTTGTATACACAAAGGATCTGTCGGTTAATTTTACCTACGAAGTTCGGAGATCACCCCGAGATGACGTTAACGAACTTCATTGGTTTGCACAACTTTATCACCTGATTTAATCAGACCATCCCACATCAAATGTTTCACACGTCTGGTGCTAATTTTTATACCTTGACTAGAAAGGGTTGAACCCCTATGATCCTCATTTACACCGATCTTGCCACCAATCGTTCGAGATATCCAGGATACTAATTCATTCGACATCAAGAGACGGTCGGGAAATGAGGAGAAGAAGAAAAAATGATATTCTTAAAGCGGATGGCGATGTGGTAACATCACCAAATTATCACCCCGGGGATGTGTTCGAATCCCACCACCACCGTCTGACTTTCCCCATTGTGTGTTGAATGACAGCCCTTTGATTGGCCGCTTCCCCTTTCCTGAAAATTGTATCTTTGTTTATTCAATAAAAAGAAGTAAAAGAAAAAAGAAAAAGAAAAGAAATAATAATCGGTTTACTGAACTACCCTCAAGTCGGACATGGGGAAGGATGCACAACATGAATGGGTCGTATCCGGTCCAGCGAGGAAGTCGGTGACGTATAATAATCGATAGTAAACTTTAAGTTCATTTATGTTGAGTCACGTGCATGTGCATTCCGCAGTATGTAAAGCGGTTCGAAGACTCTACTGATCAAACCGTTGGCTATGAGATTCTGTGAGGTATAATGACGAGCCTGTACGTTCCGTAGACATTTCATACCCCTCTCTCACTCTCCTAATTCATCCTTTCACCTGATTCGCTTATGTTCGGGTCTCCCACTGCTCCATCGTTTCATGAAAATCATATTGCAAATACACGCATAGGTGAATGAAAAACAAAGGCACCAGTCTTGCCAGGTGGGTAATAGCGCGGACGTGTCCCGAATGTGTGCTTCATATGGCTCTGTATGCACATGTACAAGGGCTTCTGAAACGAATCGATCCAGATCTGGTGGATTCTTTAAGGCCCGGTGTCTTAGGGATGAAAAGACATTTGTTCCAAATCAACCGCCCAGAGGAACAAGCAAACAGACTGAGACTGTCTGGTTTGGTCGAGCCTGGCAAGGTGGCCGCAGGTGAACAAGAACGATAGTGGTGAGGTAGGGTGAGTGTGTGCATATTACCGTGTGTGTGT